TGGGAAGTACACCAGATTGTTAGATAGTTTTGGGTTGGAGAAATGTTGCTGTCATATATACTCTGACCTTCTTAAACTTTGCTTTTGGAAAGAGTCTCATGGTTTGCTAACTTGGTTTCAGTTTCACAGAGATCTGCTGGGAGGAAAGTTCCTTTAAACATCCCCGGGACATACTTTGCAGTAAAGAACAAAGCTTTCCTTAGTCTTGGGGACTGGAGAGGATTGTCAAGTGCCAGTAGGTGGGAAAGTGGCCTTGATTTTCAGCATGTGAGTTCTGAATCTCCAGGAAAGACAGCATTTCATTCTGGAAATCTGAGTTAATTGTTGTCCTTACCTCAATGAGACACAAGATTAAAATAAAAATTGTGAAGATGACACTAATGGATATCGCCACGATTGGTTTTTTATGATAGCCATATCCTGGAACTTCTTTAGTGAGCTAAAAAAAGGAAAGAAAGAGAAGAACAAGTTTTTTAAAACACAAAGTAGTGGAAAGGGCGCTAGCTAGCTATTCAATACCTCATTCTTCCTCTTGGTAGCCTATAGGATCTTAAATAACAGAGCAAGTCTAATGTGTTACATGGTCGCACTACTAGCGTTTCCTTCTGCAATTTGTCATGCTCTAAATGAGCAAAGTGTGAGGTCACTGTCATGGTCAAAGTTACATGGCCAGGATGAGAGGTGCCAGAGCCCCGGGCTCCATGTGGTTCTCCCCCTCAGGGCATCCTCTGTGTTTGTGGTCATCCTCACCTCGTCTGACTCCTGACCCTTACGCTCGCTCTGGGCCTCAGTGCTGTCTTTGATGTAGTTGTTCCTCCATTGTTCTGTGTCCTGCTCTGCCTTGGCCACCTTCACCTCCTGCTGCTCACTGAGGCAAATCATGCCTGAGCAAAAAGAACAAAGCTGAAGCCATCATATTACCAGATTTCAAACTTTACTACAAGGCCACAGTAACCAAAACAGCATGGTAAAAAAATAGGCACATAGACCAATGGAACAGAAAACAAATCCCAGAAATACAGCTGCTGACCTACAGCCAACTGATCTTTGGCAAAGCCAAAAA